TCTCGGGGTATGGTTCCAGATACCGTGCTATCCTCCTTCATCTGGGGGTATGGTTCCAGATACCGTGATATCCTCCTTCATCTGGGGGTATGGTTCCAGATACCGTGATATCCTCCTTCACCTGGGGGTATGGTTCCAGATGCCGTGAAATCCTCCTTCATCTGGGGGTATGGTTCCAGATAACGTGAAATCCTCCTCCATCTGGTGGTATGGTTCCAGATACTGTGATATCCTCCTTCATCTGGGGGTATGGTTCCAGGTACCGTGAAATCCTCCTTCGCCTGGGGGTATGGTTCCAGATGCTGTAAAATCCTCCTTCGCCTGGGGGTATGGTTCCAGAGGCCGTGAAATCCCCCTTCACCTGGGGGTATGGTTCAAGATGCCGTGAAATCCCCCTGCACCTTGGGGTATGGTTCCACATACCGCGAAATCCTCCTTCACCTGGGGATATGGTTCCAGATACCGTGATATACTCCTTCATCTGGGGGTATGGTTCCAGATACCATGAAATCCTCCTTCATCTGGGGGTATGGTTCCAGATACCGTGAAATCCTCCTTCATCTGGGGGTATGGTTCCAGATACCATGAAATCCTCCTTCATCTGGGGGTATGGTTCCAGATACCGTGATATCCTCCTTCATCTGGGGGTATGGTTCCAGATACCGTGATATCCTCCTTCATCTGGGGGTATGGTTCCAGATACCGTGAAATCCTCCTTCACCTGGGGGTATGGTTACAGATGCCGTGAAATCCTCCTTCATCTGGGGGTATGGTTCGAGATACCGTGAAATCCTCCTCCATCTGGTGGTATGGTTCCAGATACTGTGATATCCTCCTTCATCTGGGGGTATGGTTCGAAATACCGTGAAATCCTCCTTCGTCTAGGGGTATGGTTCAAGATGCCGTGAAAACCTCCTTCGCCTGGTGCTATGGTTCAAGATGCCGTGAAATCCTCCTTCGCCTGGGGGTATCGTTCAAGATGCCCTGAAATCCTCCTTCGCCTGGGCCTATGATTCCAGATACCGTGATACCCCCCTTCACTTGGGGGTAAGGTTCCAGATACCGTGAAATCCTCCTTCATCTGGGGGTATGGTTCCAGATGCCGTGAAATCCTCCTTCACCTGGATGTATGGTTCCAGATACCGTGAAATCCTCCTTCACCTGGGGGTATGGTTCCAGATGCCGTGAAATCCTCCTTCATCTGGGGGTATGGTTCCAGATACCGTGAAATCCTCCTTCATCTGGGGGTATGGTTCCAAATGCCGTGAAATCCTCCTTCACCTGGGGGTATGGTTCCAGATACCGTGAAATCCTCCTTCACCTGGGGGTATGGTTCCAGATGCCGTGAAATCCTACTTCACCTGGGGGTATGGTTCCAGATGCCGTGAAATCCTCCTTCACCTGGGGGTATGGTTCCAGATGCCGTGAAATCCTCCTTCACCTGGGGGTATGGTTCCAGATGCCGTGAAATCCTCCTTCACCTGGGGGTATGGTTCCAGATACCGTGAAATCCTCCTTCACCTGAGGGTATGGTTCCAGATGCCGTGAAATCCTACTTCACCTGGGGGTATGGTTCCAGATGCCTTGAAATCCTCCTTCACCTGGATGTATGGTTCCAGATACCGTGAAATCCTCCTTCATCTGGGGGTATGGTTCCAGATACAGAGAAATCCTCTTTAATCTGGATGTATGGTTCCAGATACCGTGATATCCTCCTTCACCTGGGGGTATGGTTCCAGATACAGAGACATCCTCTTTAATCTGGATGAATGGTTCCAGATACCGTGATATCCTCCTTTACCTGGGGGTATGGTTCCAGATACAGAGACATCCTCTTTAATCTGGATGAATGGTTCCAGATACCGTGATATCCTCCTTCACCTGGGGGTATGGTTCCAGATACCGTGAAATCCTCTTTCACCTGGGGGTATGGTTCCAGATACCGTGATATCCTCCTTCACCTGAGGGTAAGGTTCCCGATACCGTGATATCCTCCTTCGCCTGGGGGTATGGTTCCAGATACCATGAAAACATCCTTAGTCTGGACGGCTTAGTTCCAGATTAAAAAAAAATTCCGGATTAACGAATCAAGGTTGGGAGAAATATTGCTTTATACATACATGGGCAATGACAAACGGTTCCGGACTACCAGGTTTTCGGACTAACGAGGTTTCACTTTATATATATATATTTACAGGAAATGGTAGATTAATCTGTTAAGCTTTCCTCCAAATCACAATATATATTCCAACACCGACACATTTATTTGACAGCGATCGAAATGCAACTGTTTTCAAGTGTGCTTGGGGGCGGTCGGGTAGCCTAGTGGTTAAAGCGTTCGCTCGTCAGCCGAAGACCGGGGTTCGATTCCCGACATGGGTACAATGTGTGAAACCCATTTCTGGTGTCCCCCGCCGTGATATTGCTGGAATATTGCTAAAAGCGGCGTCAAACCATACTCACTCACTCACTCAAGTGTGCTTGAAGGCACTCGTGATATTATTCAGGTGTGCCTCAAACGATATATGTGTGTCCCTGGCTTATCATGACATCCCTATTCCTTGCATATTTTGTAAAGTAATACACATTTATTTCTATCACAAATAAGCCAAGAGTTATTTGAACTGTGAAAACACATAGTCAACTTTAGCTCGAATCAGAAAAGATGTGTTTTTGTGCTCAAGTCCACCTCCAAAGAAACATCCACTGACATCGTTGTGTTTTATTATCTCATGCCTGAATACCCATGGAAGTTAATATTGTGGCAAGTGAAACGATATCCTCGATGTAAATCACATTGTATAATCTTCACATGAAACAGGTGATATATTTGGTATACATTCTTGAAATTGATGGTGTGCAGTAAGTTGAAGTGAGGTGAAATTGGTTTGAACGTCGCGTCCAAGATTATTGCACTTATATAGCGACGTGCATGCACGTGTGTGTGTGTGTGTGTGTTGCTGCTTGTACTAGTCCGGACTGATGCCGATTTATAGTGCTAGCTCACTGAGATACCATGACACAGTTTAACATGAATACCCCACTCAGACACAGTATACTGACTCCGAGCCGACCAGTCCTTGTTTTAGCCCCTTAAAGCCGAGCGCCAGACAGGGTAACAACAAGTACCATCTTTTAACGTCTTTTGGTATGACGCGGCCGCGGATTGTGCAGTAAGGACACTGGGAGTGTTTTAAGGGTGCAATCAGCAGATTTCGAAATCTGTTTGACAACAATGACAGTCTCGGAGTCCCCACAGTGACACAACGCGGAGAGGAAACATTTCCGTGAAGCTCTGTGAATATTTATATCAGTGTATCGTCACAACTGGGATATAAACTGCCCGGCAAAAGAAAGTGTACACAAAATTTGATCTGACTAAAATATACCACACGTTATCAAAATGTTACAAGGCTGAAAACAGTCACCAAAACACTGCAAACGTCCAAAACACAACTGTGATACCCGTATCAAACACATCACCCTCGAGAAACCTTTCCGTGTTTGTTTCAATATTTACCCACTATCAAACACATCACCCTCGAGAAACCTTTCCGTGTTTGTTTCAATATTTACCCACTATCAAACACATCACCCTCGAGAAACCTTTCCGTGTTTGTTTCAATATTTACCCACTATCAAACACATCACCCTCGAGAAACCTTTCCGTGTTTGTTTCAATATTTACCCACTATCAAACACATCACCCTCGAGAAACCTTTCCGTGTTTGTTTCAATATTTACCCAATATCAAACACATCACCCTCGAGAAACCTTTCCGTGTTTGTTTCAATATTTACCCACTATCAAACACATCACCCTCGAGAAACCTTTCCGTGTTTGTTTCAATATTTACCCACTATCAAACACATCACCCTCGAGAAACCTTTCCGTGTTTGTTTCAATATTTACCCAATATCAAACACATCACCCTCGAGAAACCTTTCCGTGTTTGTTTCAATATTTACCCACTATCAAACACATCAACCTCGAGAAACCTTTCCGTGTTTGTTTCACTATTTACCCACTATCAAACACGGGTGAGTTCACCAAGTTCCCCTTGTCTTCGTGCTGGATTGTATCGGAGCTCAAGCTTTTATGATACATGATTTTACGAAGTTTCGTTTAATTGTCAAACCCTTAGAACATAATTATGTTTGTCAATGCTTTGCTATTCAATATTCCAGCTGTATGATGGCGGTCTGTAAATAACCGAATGTGGGCCAGATAACCCGGTGACTGATATAATGACCCAAATTCCACATCGTCGGGGTTTGTTGACACGCTTTCAAGCGAGACAAACAGATCCACTGAGTCAGACCAGCAAAGGTTGCTTGAGACTAATCTAACATGGAATCCCAACTGTGACCCTTAAAAGTATCGGTTCGTTACGTTCGATATTAAAGGGACACATATGAACCAATGACTAAATTTAACAAGAATAAGACTAATACGTACATTTGGACGCAAGCATATTGAAGTTTAATGAGAATATTGATTGTCAATGGAAGTAGAATAGTAGATAGTAGAATATGAAAACAAAGATACAAAGGTATGCCTGAATATTTGGTGAACAAGAATACCGCAAAAGCCAGACCAAATCACTTACTTGATTTACGGAACCCGCGGGGATTTTTTGAAACAAAATTGCGAAAAATAATGCAACCGTTCCTGCTGTCAAAATAAAAATAATTCGCCCTGACGTTGTGTTTTATTTTAAGTAAGGCGGGCTACTCCCGTATTTCAATGCCGACCCGTGAAGATCCGGATAAATTGTTTGTTTGTTTGTTTGTTGTTTAGCGCCACACTTGGCAATATTCCAGCTATATGATGTCGGTCTGTTAATGATCGAGTCTGAACCAGACAATCCAGTGATTGGCATCATGAGCATCGATCCACGCAATTGGGATACAATGACATGCATCAACCAAGTCAGTGAGCCTGACCACCCGATCAGTAGTAATAACTAGATCAATAAGTGAGACCAATAAGATAAAACCTTGGTGGGAAAATATTATTTATTGGAATCGTATGCTTTATGGACAGATATTATCGGTAATTGCTAATAAAAAGAGGGCTTGGTCCCGAACATAGTAACATTGTTATTCTATATTTACTGTGCCGATCATACATTGATATTGATAAGTGTCTTTTTCAACCAATTGATGCGAATGGGGAGTGGCAAGTTTCAAGGACCGTATTCCAAATAAGTCCACCAGGACACGAACCAACAAAGGCGTCGCCATTGTTATCGCACTGGATAAATTTATGGATATCTGGATGAGGAAAGTAGAGCTTTCCAGCTGCGGCCTGTTTAGACAAGCATGGGTTCGTTCCCATTCCAGTTCCAGTTCCAGTTCCAGTTCCAGTTCCAGTTCCAGGTCTTGTTACTGTTACTGTGCCAACGGTCGGGGGTGGCGTCACAACAACGCCTGCAGTGGTGGCGTATTCACAAGCTCGGCGGGCCTGGTTCCATATTAGCATTGACGGACATGAGAGAATTGTCGCTCCCCCATTTGGGCCACATTCAATGAACTTTGTGTTGATGTTTGGGATGGCAAAATAGACCAGCCCGGCCGCGTAATTGGCTTTGGTGCAGAAACCAGACGTGATGGTGGTAGCGGCGGGTGTGACTTGGGGGACAACAGGTGACCGACACGACGTGGTAGCCGAGTTATACGTCAACCCCGACGGACATTGGATGATGTACATCTGGCCAATGTTGTCGCACTGGAGAAACTTGGTGTTGTCGGAGGGATGTGGAAAATATACTCTTTTGTTGTTTCCCACACAGGGGTTTTGTGGTGCCACCCAGTTGTCTGAAAACGAAACAAATTCAATATACTCGCATGTATGTCGTTCGTATGCAGCCGGGGGCACGGGTGGCCCAGTCATCTAAGGCGCCGCGATTCGCTGTGCAGATTTGAATCCCTTGGGCACGCCAGAAACCTATGATTGTGGGTTCGAATCACGGTTCGCCCCGATTATGTTTCTAGGTTTGTCAGCACCATACCCGTGCTCGTGGGTTTCAGGGAAGTGGTAAACGTCTGAGACCTGCATCACTTCGGGCTTTCCTCCCACATTAAGCTGACACGCCGCGATATAACTGGAAAACTGTTAAAAGCGGCGTTAAACCAAACTCACTCACTCACTCGTATGCAGCCAGTCGACTGTAATTCGCTGTCTCCAATTTGCAGTGTCTGTGGTATCCCGTTACACAAAGCGATCTTAGCAAGACAGTATTAAAGTACGGACGTTAAGATCGTCTTAACTTTAAGATCACCTTGTTGAACTGGGCCCTGGTTGTAGGTTTCCGCGAGGGTGTGTGTGTTTGTTGTTTAACGCCGCTCTAAGCAACAGTCGAGCTATATGACGGCGGTCTGTAAATAATCGAGTCTGGACCAGACAATCCAGTGATTGACATCATCAGCATCGATCCACGCAATTGGGATACGATGACATGCATGAACCAAGTCAGCGAGCCTGACCACCCGATCCTGTTCGTTGCCTCTTACGACAAGCATAGTCGCCTTTTACGGCAAGCATAGTCGCCTTTTACGGCAAGCATAGTCGCCTTTTACTAACCGTCCACGATTTGGGCCATGATCACTGTAGGTTTTCCTCAAACACTGAACTCATTCCTGAACAGTGGCATTAAAAACTAATTGAAAATGCTATGTTCGATCAGCGTTATGTGTGTATGGTAACATGCTAAATACGAAGCAAAAAGGGTGTAGGTTTTCGATTATTCACAGACCGCCGTCATATAGCTGGAATATTGCTGAGTGCGGCGTTAAACAACAAACAAACAAACAAACCAACCCGGTGAAGGTTTAACTGGTGATTATTGCAACAATACTTATTGTATAATCAACAGCACAAAGCACTGGTCCATCAGTCATGTCAGGCTCAGTTGTATCACTCAGCGTCCCTTGCTGCCAACCCCTTCATATCGACACTGTATACATGAACTCTATAACTTGTAATAAATTTGGTTTATTTCAAAATACTCACTTGTGCATGGCGCTTGCCGTTTCACTGAAAAGAAAGACAATCAGAGACAATTAAAACAATCAAGAAAAGGGTAAATCGAAATAATAGTTAAGTGTGAAAATGTTGTGTGAACATATCACACATCTAACCCTCAGTACGAGACGTGATAATGACCCATGGTGGCCCATTAGAAATGTCAAAACATAAACGGAAATGTAAGATTTGATCGGAAATGTTCATATTACTCATTTCCTTTGTTTTTCCCATTTGCAAAGGTCGGACTGATGACCTGATCAAGAACTTAAGTATGTCTAAAATGAGTGAAAAAAAGTGATTTAAAAGAACTAACGGTTATATGTGGCAATCGTGAGCCAAGATGATTCTTCATTATTTTCATTACCTTCATTACTATTTCAGTAATGCTCATGCTCAAATATTTTTTAAAATACCCGTTAACCGAAAACCTCTAAAATCAGAATTTTGGACACATTTTAGCTTTGGACATCCTCATTTGATTACATAGTTCAACACATGCAAATGTTGACAGGAAAATTATCATCTTCAATACGAACACTTCTTATATATTTTTAAACGTTCGCACAGTTCTTTGATTATGCAGATCTAGATACCCTGGGCGAAACAAGGTTCGTTATCACAGCCCATTATCTGCTTTCGGTCCTATATTCAAGTACTCTTTAAATAGTGCATTGTTAATACTAACACGTGGATACAATTAATTGTCACCTATTTCATCTTATTTCTGACGGAAACCACTCCAGAAGAGAATTTTATTATCCGAGTTTATCATTTAGATTTTATTTTCAGATATTTTTGGAATCATGATCACACCAACGAGTATCAATAAAATTAATTACAACGAATATCAACTGCTAATGTGGAAATGGAGATTTATCTACTTACATCTCAGCTCAGCCGAGGCAGTGAAAGCCAAAAACAAGACAGCCACAATTCTCCACATGTTCTCTGGAACTGCCAATACCGACTGTGAAACAAGCAGTTGAACAAGCATCCTTTATACCCGTATTGGGTGGCGTCAGTAAACGTGGCGGCCGTTCATGATCAAACCCACGACGAGATCCGGCAAAGCGATGTTGCTAGGTGAAGCTAATATTCAGATAAAGGATGCACGGGGCTGCTGAAGTTGTAAATGGACGTCGTCGTTTAAACAGCGGAACAAATCCGAAGACCAACTACGCCTGTTTAGATTTAAGCGTAGGAGGTTTGGAGATGCTGTTTGTGTTAGTGGTTGTATTATTTGTGTTGACCGTGGTAGTGGTCTCCCGAGGTCACAAGACAGTTGTTTGGATATTGAGGGTGAAGGAGTTCCCCATGATGAATTCAGGAAATGACGATCATGGGCGCTTAAAAGTTTGGCATGCTTTATCATTTAATTGAAGGGGAGGTGAAATGGGAGTTTGGCGTCGTCTTCAAGATTATGGCACATATCTTGCGAATTGTGTGCGTATGGATGTGTATTTGTATGTGTGTATGTGTGTACGTGCGTGCGTGCGTGCGTGCGTGCGTGCGTGCGTGCGTGCATGCGTGCGTGCGTAATGACTCCGAGTCCAACCAGGGCAACAGCTATCTTTTCACGTTTTTTATGTGACGAGGCCAGGGAATCGAACCACCAACCTTCCACTGTCCGGGCAGACACCCTATCCGGGTTGGAGTTGATCTTCGGCAACCCATGCTCTTCGTCAGAGGCGATTAACGGGATCAAGCTCGCTGACTTGGTTGATGCTCATGACGTCAATCACTGGCGTTTTTACAGACCAACGTCATATATAACTGGGATGTTACTGAGTGCGGCGTTAAACAAACAAACATCATATTACATATAGTATAATGTGTTTCGGCGCTCTCTCTCTCTCTCTCTCTCTCTCTCTCTCTCTCTCTCTCTCTCTCTCTCTCTCTCACACACACACACACACACACACGCACGCACTTAGAGTAAAGTAAACCCTCAAGTGGGTGTCAACTGATCTGTGATGGTCGTACAGTGCTGCTGCAGCTTCATCAGAGCTCGTGCTGGAAGGTGTAGATGTGGACGACGTGCCACTGTCAACCCCAGTCCTTCACACTGTCGCGTGTTGTCCAAGTGTCCGAACTATCCGCGAAGAGTGTACAGCCGTTCACCAATCCCACAGCTGCATCAGCTTGTGTTAAACCTAAAGACAGAAAGCATCATCTTTGACGCAAGGGGGCTGGCTGTGTGTTAGGGAGGGTCCAGTGAGATTAGTAGGACGTTGGCGTTCATCAAGGGAGGGGGTGTCGTCTAAATTACTATATATATTTCTTCAAATAAAAAAGTGTTAAAGTTAGGGTGAGGTGAGGTGATATGGGGTTTAACGTCGCGTCCAAGATTATTGCACTTACATAGCAATGTGCATGTACGTGTGTGTGTGTGTGTGTGTGTGTGTGTGTTTGTGTGTCTGCTTGTACTAGTCCGGACTAAGGATTTATAGTGCTAGTTTAACATAAATACCCCACTCAGTTACAGTATACTGACTCCGAGCCGACCAGTCCTTGTTTTAGCCTCTTTATGCCGAGCTCCAGACAGGTTAACAACAAGTACCATCTTTTAACGTTTTTTGGTATGACGCGGCCGGGGATCGAACCCCGGACTTTCCGCTCTCCGGACGGACGCTCTACCACTAGACTACGGAGGTGGTCTATAAAATTGAACAATATTTAGGGACTTGTCACTTATTATAGGGAAGGGAGTCATGACCTGAAAACGCCAAAGGCCAAACTGTTATGACCTACTTCGTCACTACAAAGTGAACAATCGATCAAGGCAACAGGAGGTAAATACATGTAGGTGTATGTTGCACGTGGTCTAGCTTACATGCTGGATCGAACTTCTGGAGCTCCCTGAATACACTACATAATTACATTTATATATGGATGTTTTATTTTACAATGTTTCATGAAACATATTTTATTGTACATGGACTCGTGTGCTAGTGTTTACCAGTGACCTGTGATATCAACTCGGATTTCATTTTTTTCAGCCGGATTGCTGTATAAACTGGGCTTGAATGTCGATCCTACACAAGTCCGGTTAAGACGGATTCCACCGTACATAAAGTGCATAATAAACCAAGTGATACGCCCTCGTTTGATGATAATTGTTTCTGGACGCAGACTGGACGTAGATTGGACGTAGACGTTATATATACTGGATACAGACTGAGTGTAGATTAGACGCAGACCGGATATAGATTAGACTTAGACTGGACGTAGACTGGACGAAGACTTGACGTACTGGACGTAGACTGGACGTACTGGACGTAGACTGGACGTAGACTGGACGTAGACTGGATCTAGACTGGACGAACCCTGGACGTAGATTTGACGTTGACTGGACGTAAACTTGACGTAGACTGGACGTAGACTGGATGTAGACTGGATGTAGACTGGACGAAGACTGGACGTAGATTGGACGTAGATTGGATGTAGACTGGATGTAGACTGGACGTTGACTGGACGTAGACTGGATGTAGACTGGACGAAGACTTGACGTACTGGACGTAGACTGGACGAAGACTGGACGTAGACTGGACGTACTGGACGTAGACTGGACGTAGACTGGACGTAGACTGGATCTAGACTGGACGAACCCTGGAAGTAGATTTGACGTTGACTGGACGTAAACTTGACGTAGACTGGACGTAGACTGGACATAGACTGGACGTAGACTTGACGTTGACTGGACGTAGACTGGACGAAGACTGGACGAAGACTGGATGTAGACTGGACGTAGACTGGACATAGATTGGACGTAGACTGCATGTAGACTTGACGTTGACTGGATGTAGACTGGACATAGATTGGACGTAGACTGGATGTAGACTGGACGTAGACTGGATGTAGACTGGACGAACCCTGGACGTAGACTGGACGTAGACTGGACGTAGACTGGACATAGATTGGACGTAGACTGGATGTAGACTGGACGAACCCTGGACGTAGATTTGACGAAGACTGGACGAAGACTAGACGTAGACTGGACATAGATTGGACATAAACTGGACGAAGACTGGACGAAGACTGGACGAAGACTGGATGTAGACTGGATGTAGACTGGACGAAGACTGGATGTAGACTGGACGTAGACTGGACGAAGACTGGACGTAGACTGGACGTAGACTGGACGAAGACTGGACGTAGACTGGACGTAGACTGGATGTAGACTGGACGTAGACTGGATGTAGACTGGACGTAGACTGGACATAGATTGGATGTAGACTGGATGTAGACTGGACGTAGATTGGACGTAGACTGGACGTAGAGTGGACGAAGATTGGACGTAGACTGGACGTAGACTGGATGTAGACTGGACAAAGACTGGACGAAGAATGGATGTAGACTGGATGTAGACTGGACATGGATTGGACGTAGACTGGACGTAGACTGGGCGTAGACTGGATGTAGACTGGACGTAGACTGGACGAAGACTGGACATAGATTGGACGAAGACTGGATGTAGACTGGACGTACACTTGACGTAGACTGGACGTAGACTGAACATAGACTGGACGTAGACTGGACGTTGACTGGACGTAGACTGGACGTAGACTGGACGAAGACTGGACGAAGACTGGACGTAGACTGGACGAAGACTGGATGTAGACTGGACGAAGACTGGATGTAGACTGGACGTAGACTGTTCGTAGACTGGATGTAGACTGGACATAGATTGGACGTAGACTTGATGTAGACTGGACGAAGACTGGACGTAGACTGGACGTAGACTGGACGTAGACTGGATGTAGACTGGACGAACCCTGGATGTAGACTGGACGAAGACTGGACGAAGACTGGACGTAGACTGGACATAGATTGGACATAGACTGGACGAAGACTGGACGAAGACTGGACGAAGACTGGATGTAGACTGGATGTAGACTGGACGAAGACTGGAGGTAGACTGGACGTAGACTGGACGTAGACTGGATGTAGACTGGACGTAGACTGGATGTAGACTGGACGTAGACTGGACATAGATTGGATGTAGACTGGATGTAGACTGGACGTAGATTGGACGTAGACTGGACGAAGACTGGACGTAGACTGGACGTAGACTGGACGAAGATTGGACGTAGACTGGACGTAGACTGGATGTAGACTGGACGTAGACTGGACGAAGACTGGACGAAGACTGGATGTAGACTGGATGTAGACTGGACATGGATTGGACGTAGACTGGACGTAGACTGGATGTAGACTGGACGTAGACTGGACGTAGACTGGACGAAGACTGGACGAAGACTGGATGTAGACTGGATGTAGACTGGACATGGATTGGACGTAGACTGGACGTAGACTGGACGAGGACTGGACGTAGACTGGATGTAGACTGGACGTAGATTGGACGTAGACTGGACGAAGACTGGACGAAGACTCTCTGTGTGTGTGTGTGTGTGTGTGTGTGTGTGTGTGTGTGTGTGTGTGTGTGTGTGTGTGTGTGTGTGTGTGTGTGTGTGTGTGTGTGTGTGTGTGTGTGTGTGTGTGCCTGCTTGTATCATGTGTATTAGACCGGACTACAGTCGATTTTAGTGTGCTACCGAGTTACCATGTCTCAGTTAAACATGAATTCCGCTCCTCTATCCACTAGACCACGTATTTTTTATATTGTGATTTCTATGTGGAAATGCTTGATTATGTAGTGGAAATATAGGACTAAGGATACATTGAAATGAAGTTCTTTCATGGACGGGGAGTAGAGTGTCGATGCCTTGACTTACGATGATTTCGCTATCACCCATCTAAACTGGACTAGGCTCAGACCAATTGGCAGTTCTGGTCAGTTTGATTTATACCATTCAAAACCCATATTTACTGCAAACTCCAGCTGGATATTTTATATTAATGTTGCCGGAATAGCTCCCATGAAAACCCTAAGAGAAATCAGTAACGTTACTACAACATCTCGACATTGACCAGAACTATCCCCTGAACTGCGTAGCATTGTCTCCCTTTGATAATGACGTCACGTTAAACTCTTTAAAGGCAGTAACACTGTGCCAATATGTTTG